CCTAGAGCCCTCATCCAGTGGCTGATGGAAACAGAGGCAGACATCCACAGATATACACTGAACTGAACTCTGGAACTTAGTTGCAGAGAGGGAGGAATGAAGATCGAAGGGGTCGGTACCAGGCTGGTGAAACCCACAGAAACAGCTAGAATGAACAAAGGAGAACACATCGAACCCAGACTGCTATCTGGGAGACCTGTACAGGACTGATCCAGATCCCTGAACATGGATGCCAATAAGGAGGCCTCTGCACTCCAGGGAGCCTCTGGAAGTGGATTAGTATTTTTCCCTGGTGTAAGAAGGGATTTTGAGAGCCCATCCCACGTGAAGGGATGCACTCTTGGCCTGGACACATGGGGAAGGGGCTAGGCCCAGCCAAGGATGATGTGGTGGACTTTGGGGAGCCCCCGTTGAGGGCCCTACCCTGCCTGGGGAGTGGAGGGTGGATGGGGTGAGGAGTAGATCGGGAGTGGGGGAGGAGGGGTGGGAGTGAGGAGAGGAAGAGGGAGAAAGGATTGTTACGTGAAACAAGCTTGTTCCTAATTTGAACTAATAAAAAAAAAGAACACGGGTGAGGAGCACCTAATCAAAGGTGCTCCACTGAAGAAAACACTTCTCCATCCCAGCAGTCATTACCTGCCTGTAAATGTTCATGGAGGGAGGAGCATTATGAGCACCTCCCCCTGGCAACCGCTAACTGCCTATCAATCCTCAGGGAGGGAGGGGCATTGTGAGTCCTAGCAACTATTAACTGCCTCCTCCTACAGGGATGGGGCCTCTTGAGCCTTCCTTGCTCTACCACTTCCAACTGTAACCTGAGGTCCATTACCTGGCCATGCTGCCCCTCAAAACTGGTCTGCCCAACTGTAAACTTGGTGGGCAGACGAGTTAAATGAATGAGAATACAAAGTGTTGATATCCTGGTTACTCCCTGTCCCTGGAAGCACTTTTAAAAAGGCCCTGTTGGGAATCCCCACACATTCCTTTTCATTGCTACACTACTCACAGTAGCAAGGAGACGTGGAATCGGCCTAAATGCCCATCAACAGATGAACATATAGTGAAAACATACTTTATATACACAGTGGGATTTTATTCGGCTATAAGAAATGAAATCTGCAGGATAATGCATGGCTCTGCGAAGGGTTAAGGTTGCTCAGGCTCAGGAACACAAACACTGAATGTTCTCTCACACAGCACATGTGAATCCCGACATTGAATGTGCATATGTGGCTATGGGTGTGATACAGACTGTGAGCAGTGGAGCAGGAGAGGAGAGAAAGAACTAGAGCATGTGACCTGAGATCAGACCCCACCAGGGGCAGAAGAGCTTCAGGGTTGGGAGTGGGAAGGAGGGGTGGGAGGGGAGGGAGAAGGGGTAAAAGTGGTGGGAAGAGAGGAGGAAGAAAGGGTAGGAAGGGAGGGGAAGGGGAAAGAGGGGGAGGGAGAGAAGGGGAAATGGGGGAGAAGGGGTGAGAGGATCAATAAAAACTAATTGTGCTTCAAAAAATCATAATGAATCGTAATAATTTGTATACTGTTGTAATATTTTAACTGTGATTACATTTATTTAGTTTTGGGAGGTCGGAGGACAACTTACAGGAATTGGTTCTCTCCTTCTACCATATGGGTTTCTGAAATTGAACACAAGTCTTCAAGCTTGGTGGCAAGCCCCTTTATCCACTGAGCCATCTTGCTGACCCATTAATAGAGCATTAATGAAACACAGTGATGACTCAGCCCACCTCCCCAGTCAGCAGAAATCACCACGGTTTATGGCACTAGCATAGCCTGGTGTAAGAGGGCACAGTTTTCTGGGAAGACTGTGGACATTGCAAACCCCCATCTTTTGCCACAGGTGAAGAAGAAATTAAAAGGAACTTTAGGAATGGAGAGGAGGCTCAGTTAGAAAAGAAAAAAGTGCTTGCCTCAGAAGCATAAAACCCTAAATTCAGTTCCCAAAACCACATTAAAAAAAAAAAAAGTCAGGCCTGGTGGCACCAGTTTGTAATCCCGGCACTGAGGAGAAACCAGTAGATTCCTGGGATTTGCTAGCAGCCTACTTAGTGAGTTCGAGGCCATGAGAGATCATTCATGCTACTGACTGAGGAACTGGGGCTGAGTCATCATTGTACGTGTGTGTGTGTGTGTGTGTGTGTGTGTGTGTGTGTGTGTGCCCGTCCATGAGGATGCAATTAACATTGGCAAGGGAGACATGTTTTCTTCAGTGGTGTAGCCACTGGTAAGATTTCCCATGCTCCTGTAAATAAACCTTCACCTCTGCTTCTGTAAGCAAAACCCAATGAAACTTTCTGGGACACACACACACACACACACACACACACACAATTAAAAACAAATCCTTTGAAAATGCATTGTGTACATATATGCAAATTCTCTAATGAAACTCATTGTTATGTGAAATTAGAATTTGCTAATAAAACATTTTTAAAGATTTTTAAAATTTTTTTATTTATGTGTGTATGTGTCTGTGTGTATGCCACTTGAATGCAATGCCTTAAGACATCAGAAGAGGGCGTCCAATCCCCTAGACCTGTAGTTCCGGGCAGTTGTGAGCTGCCTGACATTAGTGATGGTAACTGAAGTCAGCTCTTTTAATTGCTGAGCCATCTCTCTAGCCCCCATTAAAAATATGTTTTTTAAATATGGGCAATACTTGAGAAATTATATCCAAAGTTATCATCTGGCCTCCACATGGTGTGCATACACATCTCATTCGTGCCCACATATGTACACTCACATACATACATCCACATACAAGAGTATTATATACACACAAATTTAAAATAAAACAATTTTATGTTACAAGTTATTTCTGTGGAAATCATCTTACAGTTTTGCCATACCATGAGTAAGCCAGATCTTTTTGCTATGGAGGCTAGAACAGGCTCAGCCCCTCTCTGAAATTCTTGGAATTTGAAGCCCCTGCTACATTGTGTCAAAGTCTTCCTCGTCCTCTGCCCTCTTCCGGCGCTGGAACCCAGTTCCTCCTTTCTCTTCCTAAGAAAGAGTAGCTGCAAATAGTAAGGCATAGTGGGAGGCAGATAAAAGCTGTTGTTGCCAGCATTACCAGGCCCCAAGGAAAGCAATGACTGTGAGCGACTCCAAAGCGAGGGTGCAGCAGATGGGCTGTCTGGGTAAGAAGCCTGGGAGCTGGGGGAGGTTACCTGTGCGATGGTCGGCGAGGGCCTTGGCACACCTAAGCTCTGGCCAACGCTCTGCCCACTTGGATGAGAAACAGCTAGTAAGTAACAGCTGAGACCTGGTGCTGACAGATACGTGATAGACAGCTATTGGATTCCTACCGACTCTAGATTCAGTAGTTTCCCAGGGTCATGGGATGAGGAAGAGTAGATATCTCACAGCAGAAATTTCGTCCTGGGAGAAGACTGAGGGTCTGTGTCCCTGGGTCCCTGAGAGGTGGTGTTTCTAGCCAGGCCCCTGGCTGAAAGCTGTCTTCCAAAAAACCCCAGGCCCTAGGGAAGTGGAGGTTTTGGATCTGGGCCCCTGGGACCTGGTAAGGCAGAGATTGATTCTGAGCTCCTGAGTCCTGAGAACGTGGAGGGTTGGGACTAAACGCCTGGATCCCAGAGAGCTGGAGCTACAGAACTGGACACGGGGGTCCTGGGAAGGTGCAGGCTGTGGATGTGGACCTCAGATTGGAAACTGGCTTCGGGGCTCCTTCCTGGAGAGGTGGAGGCTAAGGGTCTGGACTTGGACCTGAAGAGCTATGTCTGGGTTCCCTGGGCCAGGCAGTAGACCATCCATCCATCCATCCTTCTCCCTGAAGGGTTTCTGGACCGAGGCCACATTTCCCTGGTACTGCAGTTGCTGTTACTCATTCTCTTCGCTGGACTCCTGGCTGCCATCATCATCCAAGGTCAGGATCATCCTGGGGGATGGGGCTCTTTGGGGTGACCTTTCAACAGGTCTAACAAAAGGAGGTACTGACAATAGCAATGGGTCCTTCAGCAGCTGTTAGCAGCTTCTTGGGGCCCCTTCACTTTTACTGCAGTCTGGGGAGGGACTAGAAGCAGTAGAAGGTTCATGGGTATTAGCATTCCTTATCTTTAAATGAGATAAGAAAACACACTGGGTATCAAATATGGTGTCTGTGTGATCCATGGTGCACAGTGAGTGTTTAATAATTGCATTATCTTTTTTCTGTCAAGTTTCCAAGATCCCCAGCTCAGAGGAAATGCAATTGGAAGAAACAAAGCAGGAGAAAATGTACCGGGACCTGAGCCAGCTGAAGTCTGAAGTTGGTGAGTGAGCAAAAACAAAGTGTCCTGGGACTGAGAGGGCCTTCATGTGGGGTCACTTTATTTTAGTCGCTGGCCATCTCTAAGCTTCCACTTCCTTATCTGCAAATTGGGAATAGTGATAAAAAAATGAGGAAGGCATGTGTGGTCAGTGGAAGCCATGTACACAGTAGACACTCAATTAAACCAGTCTTCTGTCATCTGTGGAGAAGATGGATCCTGGATTCTCTTGGAATGGAGAATGGGCTTAGGAAGTGGAGAAGGGAATGGCTCGACCAGGTAGTATGTTAAAGGGGAAGCCTCATTCTGGAGGTCTGGCGCTGGGAAAACATAGGAATAAAAAGATTCAAATATGGTCTAACCTGATCTACCTTCACCAACAGATAGCCTCTGTCGCCACTGCCCTTGGGATTGGACATTCTTCAATGGAAACTGTTACTTCTTCTCCAAGTCAAAACGGAACTGGCACGACTCCATCACTGCCTGCCAGGAGGTGGGAGCCCAGTTGGTCATCGTCAAAAGTCATGAAGAGCAGGTGTGACTGGCTAAGTATTCTGGTGCATTCTTCTGGATACTGGCAAACAAGGGTAGACATGGTTGTTTATATGGTATCTTCTAGAAAATGGGCTACGTGCTCTACTTGGAGCAGGTGTTCCTGTGCACCTTTCAAATAGGCATACACCAGTTTGAATGCTGAGGGGAGCATTTAAAATGAAAGGGATTTTTGTGAGTGTGCTGGCCAGTGTATAACAGGTCATTTGACAGGTTTTTTTTTAATCCCTATTAGTTATGCTTACAGTTTCCTTGGTGTAACTATTCTCACAAGGGTTGGTTTCAAGTGACCAAAGAGGTGTCACTCAATGAAGGCCTAAAAAGATGTCACCGTTGCATGACCCACGGTCACAAACTGTTGCAATCTGGCTCCACGATGTTAAAACTGGCCTTGAGTAGATGTACGTGAACATACTCAGAACACATAAGACAGAAAAACATGTTACCAAGTGCATGTGATGGGTGACCAGCTAAGTCTAAGCACGTCTGCCCATAGGACACAGGTATGCAAATGATTCAGAACCGAGAACATGAGGCTGGGGGTGGAGCTCAAATGGTAGGGTGCTTGTCTAATATACATGAAGCCCTGGGCTCAATCCTCAATGTCACATAAGCCAGGTGGTAATGCATACGTGTCATCCCAGCCCTTGGGGATGACCGCAGGGGGATCAGGAGTTTAAAGCCACCCTCAACTACATGAATTTTAGGCAATGAGGCCTGTGTCAAAGAAAAAGAAGCAAACTGCTGAGAACATATGGGGGCTCCTGACCTGGTGTACCAGAAATATGAAAGGGTTAAAGATTCCAAGCAGACCCTGCTGCCAAGGGGTTGGGGGAGCATGTTAGCCTTTCCATTGCTGTGGCAAAATATCTGAGAACAGCTCTGGGGAGGAAAATTATGTCTCCTAGTTCAGAGGCTTCAGTTCTTGGTCATCTGGATCCATTGCTGAGACAAGGCAGAAATATAGTACAAAAACATGTTAACAGGAGAAAGCCTCCTACCTTGTGGCAGCCAGGAACAGAAAGACAGAGAGGGGGGACCAGGCACAAGACTGTCCTTGGCCTTACCCCTGCACCTAAGCCACACTTTGCAGCTTCCATAGCCTACAAAGAATGCTGTCAAATACTGAATCCAGCCCACCTCTCCCTGGGGATTGATAGGTAGTTACTAAGGGTAAAGGTGAGGGGATACCAAGGCCCTACCCCTCCTTAAGGACCTATAGGCAGTTAACAGTGGCTGAGGGATGGAGAGACACTTGCTTCAGTGGTGTAGCCACTGGCACAGTGCCTATGCTCCAGGAAGGAACCCCTCTCCTGTAAGAAGTCCTAACTTAACTCACTGATTCATGAAAACTGCAAATGCTTTGTAATCCATTGATGAACATGAGATCTTGAGGGAAGAAACACAAGCTGGGAAACAAGGGAGATGCTACATCCTAGCTCTCTCTCCCTCTCCAGAGCTTCCTGCAGCAGACTTCCAAGAAAAATGGCTACACCTGGATGGGGCTGTCAGACCTGAACAAGGAAGGTGCATGGTATTGGCTGGATGACTCACCTCTGTCAGACAGGTAGTCCCAGGGAAGGGAACACCTTGAACAATGGGAGGAAAGGGGCTGTGCCTGGCATGTACTGCCCTTCCAGTTGCCCCCATACTCTGCCATCACATCCTCTGGCCCTCTAGATAAGAGTCTATAACATTTGCTGATGGAGAAGGAAGGGTATGATGTTCAGACAAGACAGAAGCTGCTTAAGTCCCTCCATGAGGAGTTTGTAGCCTTCGTGCGTAATCCACGTGTATAATCTTAGACTCCTTGGTAAGGAAGGTCAGTCACCAGGCCATGGGATTACAGCCTTTAAAGGGTAGAATGTTGGGCTACAGAGATGGCTCAGTTGTTGGCTGCTTAGAGCACAAGCATAAGAAGGAACCAGAGTTTGATCTCTAGAATGAATTCATGTCTGTTTGTTTTTAAAACGCTGAACATGGTAGTGTGTGCTTGTAATCCCAACTCAGAGGAGGGAGAGAAAGGTGAATTGCTGGGACTCATGGGAAAACCAGCCTAGCCTGGTGGTTCCAAGCCAGTAGGAGACCCTGCCTTAGAAAAAGGGTGGATGGCTCCTGAGGACTCCTGAACGATGACACCTAAGACCCCACACACACACACACACCCCCACACACACACACACACACACACACACACACACACACACACACGTCACACACTCATACAAATGCATACACACACATCACACACATACAGAGACACATCACACATGCATGCACTCATGCATATATACACATCACATGCATACACACACACACACACACACACACACACACACACATGAAAAGATAGCACGTCACACTCACAGATCCTTCTAAAAGAAGGAACATTCATCACATATGAGGAACATCAGCCAGGACCAGGGCTAGTGGGGATGCAGAGGGAAGAGGAGCTGTGGGTCAGAGCCTCTATTGGATGTCAAGGGAAGGCTAGTCAAGGCTGGGTGAGCAGACTTAGATGTAGGCACATGTAGCAAGTTCTAGAGTTTACACTGTCCCTGGTTGTTAGGTATTTAGCCCTGGACTAGTGTGCATTGACCCAGAATATAAGAGCCCAGTGTAGAGCTGAATTCTGGAATCCAGTTGCAGAGAGGGAGGAGTGCTGAGCAAAGGGGTCAAGACCAGGCTGGGGAAACCCACAGAAGCAGCTGACATGAACAAGGGGGAGCTCGTGGACCTCAAACTGATTGCTGGGAAACCAGCATAGGACAGATCCAGACCCCCTGAACATGGATGTCAGTTTGGAGGTCTGGTTAATCTATGGGGCCTCTGGTAATAGATCAGTATTTATCCCTAGTGGGTTACACAAGTGGACTTCAGGAGCCCATTCCACATAGATGGATACTCTCTCAGCCTAGACACACCAGGGAGGATCTAGGCCCTGCTCCAAATGATATTACAGACTTTGAAGATCCTCATGGAAGGGCTCACTCTCCCTGGGGAGCAGAAAGGTGTTGGGATAAGGGGTTGATGGGGGGCAGGGGAGGAGGGGAGGGAGAGGGAACTGGGATTGATTTATAAAAGAAGCTTGTTTCTAATTTAAAATTGGTCTATTTTATAAAATTATAAATTATAAAATTAAAATATTAAAAAATAAGAGCCCAGTGTAGGAGAAGACTGAGTGTGTGAAGTTCACACTAGATAGTTGTATCTTCTAACCGTGTGCTCTGTGGGACAGCTCTTCTCAAGCATGGGGAACAAAGGTAAAGGTCAAAGTGACCTAAGAATATCATGAGGTCCAGTACAGGGCATGTCTTCCACATGCATGTGGGGAATCTATGAAGGCATCCAGTTTCCAGGAGCTATGAAAGAGGGTTCATAGAGTGCAGGTAACATGGTGGAAGCAATCTTTTCTCCTACGTGCACTTTTTGCCTTGTTATAAAAAATATCAGGTGGCTTAGAAGTAAGAACTTACATATGGATCTTCAGTTCAACTCCACCAATCAAAGCATGTCTGTCTTTATGTAGTACTGTGCTGTTTCTATTACTACATCCCTGTAGTAATAGAAACGAAGAGTGCTGATGCCTCCAGCAGTGCTCTCAACATTCAGGATTGTTTGGGCTGCACTGTGTTGTTTTTGCTTCCATGTGAAATTTAAACCTTTTATTTCTGTGAAGAATTACATTGGCATTTTGGTGGGGATTGCACTAAATATGTAGGTTGCTTTTCGCATGGTGGCCATTTTCATAGTGGCCTCCTGAGCGTGGGAGATCTCTTCATCATCTGATGGCTTCTCCTGTTTTTTCTGGGTTTTTAAGGTTTTCATTGTAGAAGTCCTAACTTCCTTGGTTAGGTTTATTCTAAGGTATTTTTTAGACTACTGTGAATGGGGTAGTTTCTCTGATTTCTTTCTCAGGGAAACATATATACTCCTATATATGTCTCTCATATATAGGAGTGCTGCTGGTTTCTCCTGTGTCTGTTTTGTATAATTGTGAATGGTCTTTGCAGACTTGGGAAGTATTGGAATAGAGGACAGCCCAACAACATTGGGGGACAAGACTGTGTGGAATTCAGAGATGAAGGCTGGAATGATGCCAAATGTGACGAGATGAAATTGTGGATTTGCAAAAAATCTGCAACTACCTGTTCCAGCAAGTGATGGCCAGACCCTCTCTGCAGTTTCCACAACCTAAACATCCCTTTCAGACAGTGGACTTGTACTTTTCCCAGTTCTTTTCCCTATCTATGGGCATGGACATCTTAGTATTACCTCTGGGACATTATCAGTCTCCTTTGTTAGTCATTATGGTGCTGGACCATTGATGGCCTTCTTTGGATGTCTCCAAACTCCTGCTGGCATAGTTGTGGTTCTGCCATTGAGTTTAATTACATTAAAGTTGTGGGGGATACACTGATGAGCTGGGTGTGTTCCATTCCTCTCTTCGTCTTCCTTGTTGAGTGCAGAGAGTCTACATGACCTTATCATTCTAACACACATTGTATTAATAAATTGCCACATGCTGTTTGAGCTCACAGAGAAGCAATGGAGAGACAGCTCAGTAAGAAATTCTAGCTGCCTGTCTCAACTTGCCCAGTCAGTTTCTGACAGCTTTATCAGCACCCAAATTTGACAGCTCATCTCTATCTGCTGTTATCTGAGGGTTTTGTTTGTTTGTTTGTTTGTTTGTTTGTTGTTTTGAAAGCCTTGCCTGAGGGGGCACTTCTCTCTTCTGAAAACCCAGGGAGGAGCTCCAGCTGGCTGCCCAGTTTCTTCTGGGTGTCTGTAAGCCCCTGACTAGGTGGGGTTATCTTTCCACAGTATTTGTTCTTCCCCCTTGAAGCCTCACTTGGGGGGGGGGCACTGCTCTTCCCAGGACTCCCTTTATTGGAAACTCCAGCTGGTGACTTAAAGGGGATTCTTTTATTGGTTTCTGCTGGATTCTTGAAGCAGTTCATTTGATGATGTTTTGATATCTATTCATCTACACATCACTTGCTATTCTTTTACTTTGGTTTGCTATATACTTAATAAATTCATTCAAAACTAAAAGTATGGAGGCTGGAGAGATGGCTCAATAGTTAAGCACCCTGGTTGCCTTTGCAGAAGACCTAGGTTCAATTCTCAGCACCCACATGACCTCTCACAACTGTCTGTAACTCCAGTTCCTGTGGATCTGATACCCTATTTTGACCTCTGAGGGTACCACGCATACAAATGCTGCATAGATATATATGCAAACAAAACAAGCCATACACTTAAGTGGGGGTGTGGCTATAATAGATCATGCTTCAGACCATGTACCACACATGTGATTGCTAATTCCCAAGGAATTGCATGCAATTCCCGCATATTTTCTTCAATCCACTGCCCCTGTGACCTTACTTAGAGGTCTTTCTCTAGTTGTTATAACACATCCTATAAGCTGAAGCACCAAGAAACTTCCTCAGTCATCCAATAATGGGTGGCGGTTATTAGTATGTGAATTCCCTACTTCTACCCTCCTTTACTGATGGCATGGCAGACCCAGATATGTGTCTACCCAAGGAAGGACATGTTTCTCTGGTTCCTGGGAATTGTAGTTGTGGCAGGGGTCATCTATCAACCCTTTTATCAACTTGACTGTGCTACAGGGAGCTCCCTTCACCTGTAGACTGAGGTTCTGTCCCACCAGTCCCACAGCCATTTAGCCTGAAATAAACACACAGAGGCTTATATTAATCATAAACTGTTTGTCTGGTGGCTTAGGCTTCTTACTGGCTAGTTCTCTCTTAATTATTAACCCAAAACTATTAACCTATGTATTTCTACATGGTCTTATATTATCGGAGAATGCACAGATCTGTTACTCCTTTGACAGATATATGGTGTCTCCCTGGGGGATCACTCTCTGCATCCTCTCCCCAGAATTCTCCTTGTCTTGTAGCCCTGCCTACACTTACTGCCTGGCTACCGGCCAATCAGTGCTTTATTCATCAATCAATAAGAGAAACATATATGCAGAAGGACATCCCCATCATTAACCAATTCTGGATCCCTTATTGCTTCACTTCATAAGAGTGAGAGACAATGATGATGACCCAGTTAGGTTGGGCCAACATGAGGCAGCTATGAAAATCTATTCTAAAACTCGCCATTGGGTATCTCTAGATTGTGCCACCACTCCTGGACTTGTGACCCTATCACATGACTGCTTCCCTCCCTGTGGATACATACATACATACATACATACATACATACATACATACATACATCTTGTTCAGTACTCCTGAGTGGCAAGGGTATCCCTGTTATCTGTACCTGTCATGGAAATTCTGCCCTCCTAGCACAGCAGCCATTAACCACCTTCCTCAGAGCAGCTGTGAGTGCCTCAGGCTCTTGCCTGTTGATGTTCCTTCATGGAAAAAGGAGGAAAGGGTCCAAGGAGATGCGCTGTTAATAAAACACTTGCTACCCTAGCATGAGGTGCGAGTTTGAATCTTCAGCATCCATGTGAAAAACTGTGCACAGAGGTTCTGACCTGTAATCCCAGAGCCAGAGAGGTAGACACAGAAAGGGTCCTTAAGAATAGCCGGTCAGACAATAGAGGTTCAGGAAAAGGCCCTGTCTCAAAGAGTAAGGCCTAGACTTCTGGATAAGATGGCAGACTAGAAGCCTCACCACTAGAGCTTAGTGGAAGAAAACAGTCAAAATAATACACAGTGAGTTCCTAAGACTGCAAGCAACAAGGTCTATAAATGAACTTATTAAGTCAGGGTGAGTCTCTGCAGGAAAGTGTGAAGATATATTGTTTATGATCTAATAAAACTTGCCTGGAGATCAGAATGCAAAGCTAGCCACAGCCATAGAGGCCAGGCAGTGGTGGTACATACCTTTAATACTAGCACTCAGGAGACAGAGGCAAATGAATTTCTGTAGGATCATGAGAGTGAATCAATCTAAAAGAGAAACAGAAACCTTTGACCCCAGCACTTGGGATGACATGCCTTTAATCCCAGAACTAGAGAGGTGAAGACAACAGTGATATGGCTGAGCAGAGAGAAGAATATAAGACAGGAGGAGACAGGAACTCATTGCAGTCTTAGGTTTGGTGGAGAGTAGTGCAGTCTGGAGATGCAATCTGAGGGCAGGATCACCCCTTTGGTCTGAAGTAGAGGTAAGAGCTAGTGGCAGGCTGCTTTGCCTCTCTGATCTTCAGCTTTAACCCTGATATCTGTCTCTGAGTTTTTATTAATTAATTAATTAATACCAACTAGGATTCGTGCTACAGGAAAGAGACAGGAGAGCTGAGAATCGGAGCCCTTTGGAAAGTCCCCTTGAAGCTGAGCCACCTCAACTCAAATCAGACTGCTTGAAACAAAGGGAATTACAGTTTCTACTTACATACAATTGCTGCTTATGTGTATCTGACATACAGGACCAGAGGAGGTAAAATGGAGTGCAGGGGTCTAAAGGAACTATCAGGGAAGGGCTTGAAAGTTCCTCTCCCCAGTACACCAGAGCCCCACAGAACACCACAGCTGCAGAGACCGACGGTTGCTGTTTATGTCTATTGCTCACAGCACCAGATAAAGGCTCCTAAACCAGAGGCACCTGAGAACTTCATGTTCAACTAGCACATCTGTGTCAACAGTTTACTTCAAGGTTTCCTTTATTTATTTATTTGGTTGGTTGGTTGGTTTTTCCAGACAGAGTTTCTCTGTGTAGCTTTGGATGTCCTGGAACTCGCTCTGTAGACCAGGCTGGCTTTAAACTCACAGAGTTCTGCCTGCCTCTGCCTCTGCCTCCCAAATGCTGGGGTCAAAGACTCCTGCCACCACCAACTGGCTTATTTATTATTTTTATTGAAAAAAATTCATATGACATATTTTGATCACAGTTTCCCCAACTCCTCCCATATCCTCCCCAGTCACCCAACTCTTCACCCTTTCTCTCTTTCTCTCTCTCCCCCTCTCTTTTCTCTCTCTCTCAAACAGGCAAACAACAACACAACAAACAAACCATAATAAAAAGAAAAAACACACATGCACAAAGCCATCAAAATCCATAAAAACACACAGTCAGAAACAATAATATATAAGCAAAAGGCCAGTAAGACCAAAAGAAATGCCCAAACAAAGCAATTTGAGGCAAAAAGTCTGCAAAAATACAACTCAGTTTCTTCTGCATTGGCCATCTACTGGAGGGCCTAGGGCCTACCCTTAAGTGGGTTAATTTACCTAGTGAGACTTCATTAGAGACAATTAATTTTTCCTTTGCAAGTGTCAGTTGCAGACAGTTTCTTGGTTAGGAGCCACTTTTCACCTCTTGGTGCTAGGACCCCACCTGGCTTGAACAGGCCCTGTGCCTGCTGCTGGTGTTGGTGAGTTTATATGTGTGTCAGTCCTGTTGTATCTAGAAGACACTGTTTCCTTGGATTCTTCCATTTCCTCTGACTCTGCAATCTTTCTGCCTCCTCTTCTGCACAGCTCCCTGAGCCCTGAGAGGAAGGGCTGGATGAGGACTTCCCCTGTACAACTGAGTGTTCCAAAATCTCTCACGTTCTGCACACTGTCCAGTTGTACGTCTGTTTTAGTTCCCATCTGCTATACTAGGAAGCTTCTCTGACAATGGACATAGCAGAATGTTGCTAGAAGTCAATTTATTGCTAAGATCCTTTAAACAGAACAATACCATTTAGTTTTCTCCTAGGTTCATGGCCTATCTAGCCTCAGGTCCTTATCCACCCAGCCAGTGTCAGACTTGGGCTCTATTTCATAGAGTGGGCCTTAAATCTGGTCAGAGAATGGCTACTTACTCCCGTGGTGCTTGTACTGCTATTACAGCACTGTATCGTGTAGGCAGGTCACTGTTGCAAATCCCAGAGTTTCTAGCTGGATTTGTGTTTATCTTTTTCCTCCAGTGGCATGCAGAGTGTCTTCCAGTGCTGTGAACACTGGTCAGTGGAGGCGAAGGCTCTAGGCAGTCACCAGCTCAGCTTCTCCATGTTCAATGAGATATGTAAGTGTTGTCTTTGTCAATGGGGCCTTACTATCAATTTAAGAAGAGCAACCAACAGCCTTGGAAATAGCCTGAGATGTTTGAGAGCTTCCTGTTATTTGTTTAATCTCCATTGAGCTTTATTTGCATACTGCTCAATTAGTTTTTTATGTTGCAGTGAG